TAAGATGTATATATAGTATATAAATCGAATATAGCTTATATATCTTAAGATGTATATATAGTATAGTATAGTATATATATATATAAGCTTATATATATATGTATATATAGTATAGTGTGTATATAACTATATATATATATATATATCTTAAGATGTATATATATATACTATAATATATATACATAGTTTATAAGTCATATTCGATAGTATACATCTTAAGATATACCATATATACATCTTACTATATATATATATATAGCTTATATATCTTAAGATGTATATATATCTTAAGATCTACTATACTATACTATATATATATATAGTATATCTTAAGATGTATATATAGTATATTTTAAGATGTATATATAGTATATAAATCGAATATAGCTTATATATCTTTATTACTATTTTTTTTCTCTAACTTCTATAAAAAAAAAAAATTAAAAATACAAAGTTTCTGTTGGGCCCGTTTAGGCCCGGGACCGGCCCACTTAACCCGGGACCATTAGTTCGTGGTCCCGGTCCCGAGCCGGTTCCAGCAATAAGCCCGCGAAGCCCGGGATCGTTTAGGACCGGACCGCATAGGACCGCCCACTTAGGACCGGGCCCGCGAAGCCCACTTAGGACCGGGCCCGGCCCACTTACCACCCCTAGTTCAGCCTATCACCTGCAATCCGATGGGCCAACTGAGGCACTTAACAAGTGTTTGGAGCAGTACTTGCGATGCTTTACCCTTGATGCTCCGAACACATGGTTTCCACTTTTACCTTGGGCCGAGCTTTGGTATAATACGTCGTTCCAAACGAGTGCCAAGATGACTCCTTTTGAGGTCGTTTATGGCAGGCCGCCTCCTACTATTTCTCGTTTTGTTATAGATGGCACCACTACTCAAGCAATTACTGAGTCGTTTCGCCAACGAGATGAGACATTGGGTATTCTTAAGGCCAATCTTCTCCAGGCTCAAACTCGAATGAAGGCGTTGGCTGACAAAGGGAGACGGGAAATATCATTTGAAGTAGGTGACTGGGTCTATGTTCGCCTACGTCCATATCGTCAACTTTCACTCCGGTTACAACGTTACAACAAACTCAGTAGACGTTTTTTTGGACCCTTTCAAGTCATTCTGAAAATTGGCCAGGTTGCTTACAAACTTGATCTGCCGTTATCTTCTAAAATACACCCTGTTTTTCACGTCTCCGTTCTTCGTAAGTGCATTGGCAAACCTGAGCACCAAGTTACTCCTATTGACTTGATTGATCAGTCTTCTTCCCTGAACCTTCTGCCTGAGGAGATTCTGCAACATCGAACCATTACCAAGGGCCAACATCAACTTTCACAATGCCTTGTCAAATGGGTGGGCTTACCAGTTTCGGATGCCACTTGGGAAGATACTTCATTGCTACAGCGTCAGTTTCCCAGCTTGAACCTTGAGGACAAGGTTCCTCTTCAAGGGGTAGGCAATGTTGTGAACCAAGGTATTGGACCAGCTGCACTTGATATTGGGCTAAAGAGAAGCTCCAGGCGCGTGAACTCTCCAAAATATTTCAAGGACTTTGTGGTCCCCAAAGCCAATGGATAAGAGAGGGCACCTGCAATGCTGTTATGCGAGGACAACTGTGAGCACTATTGGAGAAATATTCCCAACAGACATTAGTATAAGTAGTAGTAGGTTTCCCTAATTAGGCAGAAAATATGCCGAGTCTTTTTGTTTGTTTTTGCTAAGGAGCAGTCTGGAACCTTCCCCCTTCTTCATTTTTCCTTTCTTTTAGTGTTTATCTTACTTTTTGAGTCCATTGTAAGTAGAGTTGCTAAGTTTGAGATTGAATCAAAGAAGTTTCCTGTTATTGATTCTGTTATCTCTCTTAAATTCATAACATTTGGTGCTTTCATTGATCCTTCCCGACCAAATGGGCGACGGTGGTCACAATACTCGTCTCAAATCTCTCGATGACGCTACGAAGCTGGTAAACGAGCAACTTGCTGCCCACAGCAAGAACCTTGAAAACATTACTGTTACATTGCAAGGTCAGCAAACTCTTTTTCATGACATTCTCTCTCAGCTTACCCACCTTCAACCACCGCCGGCGCCACCTTTTACTGTCCAAAATTCATCACCNATCTGTTATCTCTCTTAAATTCATAACATGGTGGGACCAATTGTTTCAACGAGGAAGTATCAGGTGAATGGGAAAAACGTTTTCAATTATGTTCTGTTAATATGTAAGTTCATACATGGCAGAGTATGATAAATTGATAATACCTCCTAATGTGTTTTAACATCTTTTTCCCAGGGGCAAATTCTTAGAGGCAGGCTAAGGTTCTAAAGTGGATTGAAGCTCACATTACAGTTGTCCACATAAGCTATCAAAACTTTATGAAATCAGAATTGTGTTATAGAAAGAATTTAGCTTTGAACTCTTTCTTCCTTTTGCAGGAATATTATGGCTAAAGATGGACCAAGATGGAGAAAGACATGTAAGTTTGCCCTTTGTTATTGTATGTTTGACTGTTGTTATATGTAAATTTTCACATTCAGATTCAGGGTTAGGATATAATACTTTATCTATGAACTTCCTTGCATTTGGAGTTTATATATGAGCATGCAATATGTTCTTGGATATTATAAAATTAGCAAAATCTAGCTATTGATATGAATTTTCCTTTTCCTCTAACAGAGATGCATAATATCCAGTTCCTTTTGGACCGTTAATGCATCATCTAAGATACGTGTCCTTTGATCTTAAAAAGGAAAAGCCACGTATCGATGCCTTATCTTTCTCTGAAATATTCTACATCATTTTAATCTTCTTGCTTTCGTTGCCTTTTGGATTTATTCATCCTCTTCTGTAGCTGATTCATAAAAGATCTTGAGGATTCAACCTGGTGCTTTTGAATCTGTAGTGAAAAATGACTGAAGACGCCTTGCTCTTCAGGTATTCCTTTCTCTATAAAAAAATTCCCCATGCAGATTATGATTATTATACCCACAAGGGAAAAATGGCGTTTTCTTATAAATTATTTGCTCCTAATCGTTTTAATAGCATTCACTCTCGCTATATATTTGAATCCCCTTTTAACTTTTGGTTTACACATGGAAATGTGAGGAGGGAGGGGGAGGAAGGCAAATATGTTTCTATGAAGTTATGGCCATTTAATCCAGTTGCCTATTTTGGTATTTTATTTTGTGTCTAATCTCCATATGTGTAAAGAATAATTAACATAAAGTGTTTAATTGGATCACAGTATCACCCTGATAAACCTTTTGGTTTCTAATATCATCGCGTGTGATTCAAAATAACCTTTCTAGTATCACCCTGATCACAGTATGATTCATGCATTTGGATTCATAACAGGTTATCTTGGTGCTGTACTATAGCAAATCTGTTCAAAGGCAGATAAAAGAATGCGCCAGCTACTATTTAATTTACAATGTTGGTCCCCACCTAGCATATTAGAAGAGAAAGGGTTTCGATATGGCTGCTTAGTGGTCATTAAAATTTAAATTTAGGGCATTATAGTCATTTAACCTAATAGCTACATACGTGTTTGTATTTTAGGTTATCAGTGTATACGTGGATTCTATTCGGACAACGTACAAAGTTTTGACTCAATAAGTTCTTCATCTTCCGATGCAATTGAACTGGACATGGCTATGGTGTTTGTCTACTTGCAGGTCATCCATCGATCACCCTCCAATTCAAACATTGGGACTGAAGTCTATTGTAAGTTGAGTAATTTATGTTCTGCAAAATATTAGTGTCAAATTGCTTCTTTCCATCCAAATTGCCTCAAATGACCTCTTAGAGATCGAGACGATTTGCAGATCTAAGAGGACTTCAGTGGGCTATTGTTGTGAGAATTTTCCTTCTTCTCCTTTGTCCTCTATCCCAATTGACTCCCTTAGAATTAATTTTCTTTTTTAATGAAGGGCTATTACAGTATTTCCTGAGTCAATGCTCTTCTGTTAACTGATTCTGCACATGTATTTACTCATTGATTATTTTTTATCAATTTCGTAGCAGGTAATGGTATTAAGAACTTATTGAGAATAGAGAAAGGCTATCTGAACAAAATTTCACAAGGTCAGTTATGCAATTCTGAAAAAGTTAATATTGATCTATATTTTCCAACAAGTTAGATAAATTTTATTATATTAGGTTTTATCGTTTCCCTTATTATCATAGTTAGTTATCTGTATGTAGCTGAAAATAAAACGGAGAATTTAGAGAGCCAGTTTTTTAGCAGTCACTAATTTGTCCCAAGAAATATAGTTCCTTTTACCCATTTGTATTGCTTTTACTTCTCTAATATAACTACTATTATTTACTTATAAAAGATTAAGTTCGTATTTGACATGCTTAAGTTTTTCTATTCTTCCCTTTTCCTTTGGACTTCAATTTTTTGAAGTTGAATGAAGGGGTCATTAGTTGTTAATTCATTTCCATTACAGTGTTATTATGACATGTTTTCCTTCTGCGATTGTTAGATCAATCTGTTAATAAGTTTTGGTGGAAAATGACCATAGCTGCACTCAATAATGGAGTAGTCTGAACCTTTTCTGCTTTTTGGTTAATGACATCTTGAGGCATAGATATTTTGGTTATTCTGTGGGAAAGACTACATACAACTCTCATGTGGTTGATGAATTGATTATGTTTCTATACATGATTAAGTTATTCCACAGAAGAGGCTCACTCTTATAAATCTATAAAATAACTTTAATTTTCGTAGGAACTCAAGTCTACCATATTTAAAGTAAGTATTATTCCTAGGTTTCTAGGATATTAGCATTGTAAATGTTTCTTCCTGTAGGAGATGGAATTACTTCGATAGTTTATAAGATTTTTTATTTCACTAATTACTACTATTTCAGATACGTTGTGCGGGTTATATGTCCGGAGTGATATATTGCTATGTAAGAAATCGTTCAACTGGACAAAGAAAGACGATCTTGTTACAAGAAAATGGCCTTAGAGGTAATCAGCTTGATCAAAGCAAACGTGTGTACCTCTTGCATGGAAATATCAAAGCAAACATGTGTACCTCTTGCATGGAAGCACTAAGAGTTGAATATGATATCGTTGGCCCAGACGAGGACACACAGGTACCGCTTTTCTTTCTCACCTCCCTCTTTTTCCTCCTTATAAGTGTGTAAACAGGGGGAAAATGCAGGTAGCAAAAACAAATTTCCTTATTGCTTCTAATTGTTCTTTACTGGATATGAATTTCTCATAAACTAAGTTGATCAATTTAATTTTCCTTTATTCACTACTCATAGGTCCCTCAAGTTGTTGGAAATGAAACTGATTTGGCAAAATGTAGAAATGAGAAACGAAAATGGAAAGAGAGCGAGAGAGAGAGACAATAGTACACTGCTGATACTTCTAATTTTTATGATATCGTTTGTGTTTATAATTATATTTGCTCCTGTCATGTGAGCACAATTCATGAGCTATAATCTTTTTTTTATATATATAATTGTGTCTCATTTGCTAAATTTTCATGAATTTCCGACACAATCACTAGGGGATGCAGCGTCTAATGTTTGTTGTTTATAGATAACACATGATGTCTCTGAAGCTAAGAATCTCATTAGTCAGGTAAGCTTATTAGAGGTGAAAAAAAGAAAGTTTATTAGAAGGTATGTATGCATCAATTTGGTGAAGAAGAATGCATAACGATATTACATTTGCTTGTCCAGTTCTTGCGGACAACTTCTCAAAGAGACTTTCCCTTCAGAAGATCTTGAAGCACCTGTGGATAGTCAAGAATGCTAATTTGAATGTAGACCTCTGAAAGTGACATTTCTGGCGGCTCTCTCCTTGTATCTTTTGACCAGTTTGCACCAGTTGATTTTCAATATAACACAAAATTTGATAGGAGATCCATGGTAAAAATGAAATTATCGAAGTTGCAGGAAATGAAGTCAATAAAATTAAAAGTTCGTTGGGAAAGAAGCTGGATTTGGTGAATCTGCAGGAAGGCACATTTAGTTACTGAAACACAAGATGCAGTGGATTTTCCTGTTGAATCTATAGAGTCTGGTAAGTGCTTTCCATCGTAAATGAGACACTTAGCTACTTTTCTTTTTCAACCAAATGAATTTCTTGTTAAATCATATTTTACACTTTAAATTATAATTATAATCTAATTGAGCTACCTGTGCGTATTTTTAAACAAGGTATTGAAACATGTCTTACTCTTTCAATCTTTTTTAAAAAAAAAAATACTTCCTTAAAAAGAATAATTTTCTCAGCCTACATATATGATGCATCATAATAAATGTAATAGTCAAGCTATTATAAATTGCTTGGGTTTTCCTATGTATCCTTCATGTGCCATGCTTTCTTTGACTAGGAGGACAGAGAAGTTTCAATTAACATCATGATACAATAATTGACATTATATCTAGAAGGTTTAAGCTATTTTTAACAAAAGTGTGGTAGTTAAAAGCACCTCTATGTATCATGTTTACACTCTCAGAAGCAAAGCTTTGCATTTTCATTAGTAGGCAAGTATTTACTGTTATTCTTTTAGTGCTAGGTTAACAGTAGTAAATGACGGCCATTTTGAGAATCTTACCTTATATGAAACTAATTTTAAAGCAGACATGTCATACTAGAAGCACATGAGAGATCAAAGTATTATGAACTTTTTTCGTCACATGATTGAGTTTCTTGATTGGAAAATGTATTTTTAAAGGAATGAATACATATCAGTTTGTGCTAAATCTGAACCTCTAGCTTGTAGATAAAGCATTAATTGTCAATTGTGATATATGTAAAATGATTTATACAGTACCTGTATTTATACTTGAAGATTTTTTGGAAGCAAAATTCTGGTCTTTGTTGTTCTTCACTGTTCGCCCATCAGTTTGGCAGATGTCTATTTTTTTTTTTTTTCTTCTCTTCTTTGTTTGTGATATGAGCACTGACAATTGATCATTACTTCATAACTGTGTACAGGTATTTCTTGTAAAAACTGCTAACAAAATGGCTAAGAAGAAGATTAAACACAGCAAGAGAAACGCATCACCGTTTGTCAGAATGTGACACTTCAGCATGTGATAGTATGGTGCCGCCATAAATGTAAAGAGTATTATTTGTCAGTTCTTACAATATCCATGAGTGGATATTTTGTTCCAATTTACATGAAAATAGTATCGAGCAATTAGCATGTGATGTTATCTCTCTGATTTGATACTAGATTATAAAATAATAGTTACAATAATAGTAAGGTTCTTCGGCGCATATTCGTAGTATATGACACCGAACGAAAAGGATGGAGATGTTTCGACCTGCCTGTAAAAGACATGTTTTGAAAAGATGGGGATTGGGGCTATTGATCCGGAAAGACGAGATGGTCTTTCTTTGGTTCCAGCCCCCCGGTTACACCAAAGCACACCAGTCAACACTGTACTGGGGATTGGGGCTATTGATCCGGAAAGACGAGATGGTCTTTCTTTGGTTCCAGCCCCCGGTTACACCAAAGCACACCAGTCAACACTGTATTATAGCGCTTACACCTGTGAGTTGGCAAAATAATATCGTATATTAATTAAACACCTGAGTTGGCGAAATAAAAAAAAAGCTAACGCTAACTTAATTGCTTTCAGTGCGGGTATATGATCGGGGCTCTTTGATAGACATCTTTCGGTTCTCGGTTTCATCCGACGAACAACTTTAGGTCTTTATTCTGCGGCACGGGCTATCTTTGCCTAGTATAATGAAGATTTAACTCAAATAACCGTTCATCCAAATGTTAAAATTAAAAATTACCGGTGGAGGTATAATATATGTATAATTTATGTATTATATATGTATAATTATGTATAATTAATGTATAATTTATGTATATGGCTAGAAAAAATAAATAATGATTATGACTGACTATTTGTCTAAAGATCCCTAGTATAATTATACATCACAAGTTTATGGTTACGCTGGGTGCACCCTTTTGTCACCTTTTAGTGGGTATATTAACTTTGCCCATGATATCTAAATAATAAAAATTTACATGTACTAGGTATTCACTTAAATCACGCTAATTTACTTTAGTTAAATGATAAACTAAAGTAAAAATATGTATTAATAAACTACGTACATAATAATAATAATAATAATAATAATAATACTGTACGTTGAAACATGTATCACATAGTCATTGAATTAATATAAATAACTCATGCTATAAATTTGTTACAAATATAATCGAGGTGTTAAGGCCAAAAGATCCGAGCAGTTATGCTACCATTTGCTATAGTTATGTTATTAATTGATATAAAACTCATTATCTTTCTTTTTTTCCTTTTTTCAAATAGGTGTGCACTTAATGTAAATATATAATTTTGAAAATTTTCCAATCATGTAATACTCCTTTTGGCCCAATCTTGTATTTAATGTAGGCCGTATTTCTTTGTACACTGACAGATCATTCATTCTTACAAAAATAATGAAAATAACTAGAAGTCTCTTTTCTCTCTCTCTAATGGAAACACTCGTGTTCTCATTTCTCAGGCTCTCAATCTCAGAAATATGTCAAGTTAACATGGTATCAGAGTATAGATCTTTCTATGGCACGTTCTCCGCTTTCGATCGATCCTGTTTTCGTCAATTTCGGAGGTGTATTTCGTTCTAGGTGATGTCTGACTCATTTAGAGTTAAAGTCGATAATCTTCAACCACTTCTACTGATTTTTGTTGACTTCTTAGTTGGATTCTCACATATTCAGCATTTGTGATCTCAAATTGTTTGGTTGGTGATGTGATTTGGGGATTTCGTGGTTTTCATCTCGAGCTAGGGTTTCGAAGTCGTCTACTGTCAAGCCAGAGCTTCTTCTTTCTCGTTTGTGATTGAAGGCTGTTTTCTCTTTTCCGGTCGTGAAAAGAGCTGGATAATCTTGTATCATTTCATTCACCATTATTGTAAATTGCATGCCTATTTGGTCTATAAATGTGTATCTGTATTGTGTTGTTTGGTTGATAATTTGTTGAAGAAATGACAAACGATAATAACACCAGTGCTGATGCGACTTCTTCTACTCCCTCACACCTAGTTTTCCATGTATATGATTATACCCATCCATGTCACCCCCTATATGTCCATCCATCAGACGTGCTGGGAACTTCCTTAGTTTCCAGTCCTTTTGATGGAAGTTGTTATGGCAATTGGAGATGTAATGTCCTAGTTGCTTTGTATATTCGTAACAAGCTATATTTCATTAATGGTACTTCTCAAAGACCTCCTGAAGGTTCTCCTCTAGCCAGACAGTGGCAACATTACAATGACCTTGTGGTCTCTTGGCTGACTAACTCTATGTCCAAGGAAATATCTAGTAGTGTTGAATACTCTGAGTTTGCTAAAGATATTTGGACTGAGTTAGAAGAGAGGTATGTGAAAGCTGCTGGTGCTAGGATCTTTGCGCTAAAGAAGGAACTGGCTCATATTTCTCAAGGATCCAGGGATATAGCATCATATTTCAACAAAATTAAACAAGTATGGGATGTGATTGCATCTTTGTCTGCTGGGAGAGTTCGAATGTGTACTTGTGGGGTAAGTCTGCTGAAGATGAGGAACAAAAGGTCTACCAGTTCCTTATGGGACTAAATGATACTTATGTCCAAACAAGAAGCAACATTATCATGATGAAACATTTGCCTTCCATTGGTAATATATATGGGATTTTGCTATCTAATGAGAAGCAAAGGCAAGTTTCTGCTGGAACTCAATTTGCCTCCAATTCTGTTTCTTTCAGTGCTGGTGTATCCAGGCTTCCTCCCTCTCCCAAAATAAATTTTGACCTCAAAGGTCTGGTACTACCTCTAAGGCATTTTTGGAGCTTCACATGTCTACTATTGTCTGCAAGTATTGTAAGAAACCTGGACATATCATTGATAAGTGCTATAAGCTCCATGGCTGTCCTCCAAACGTCAAGTCAAATAGATCTCCTCCTCCCAGAAGGTCTGCTGCCCATGCTGAAGTGGATACCTCTGGTGTTTCTGCTATGTCAGCTGGTCCTGAAGGTGCCTCTGCTCCTGAACAGTCCTATCCAGTTTCTGGTCTTACTAAGGACCAATATTGTCACGCCCCAAACTCGGGGAGCACGACCAGCACTCAACCGAGAGAACCCGGCTGAGCAAGCCTATTAGATTTTCTCCTACCCAAACTCATCCATGAATAAAGAGGAGATGTACTCCATTAATCATTCACTGAAAAGATTTTATTAACAACTTCCTTTTTCATTCTCATTAGTAGCTTTATTCATAATTTCCAAAATATTACGAGTTTATAAAATTAATGAAAAACATGATTTCCAAATACCAATGACCTTGTAAGTTCAATTCCCAAATTCAACCACAACCCACAACCTGTCTACGGAGCCTCTAAATATAATAGAAGAGTAATATGAAAATGCCGACAACAAGGCTCCGGCTATACCTCAAAATACAGTACATGAGAAGAAAAGATACATGACCCCGAAATGAAGTGGGGCTCACCAAATCAGCTGAAAAGAGTGCACTGCTATCACTGATCAATGCCGCTTGCTGTAGAACCACCTGCATCCATTAAAGATACAGCGCCCCCGGCAAAAAGGACGTTAGTACTGTCGAATAGCACTAGTATGCATAGCTAAAAGTCCTCTTTCAAAATAGAATGCCCATATAAGAAAAGGCAACACATAAAAACAACAAGTCATAATCAACAATATCCAAATGTTCAATTAAAACATAATACTTTTCAAAATACGAACTTCATATAAAATTTTGGTTGGGAGATCATTAGCACCGATATAACACCGTCTTTGTTAGCACGGAGTCCGATCACGCTCGATGGGATAGGCCATCTCCCCACGAATAATGTGTTTTGACATGTGATGCGAAAGAAACTTGTTACCAAGAGTAGTACCACCATATGTGTAATATGACGTCTGATCTCCACCCGATCAGTTAGGCCGCCTTCCCACATATGCCATGCGGGTTGACTTTTCCAATCTACAAAGATTCCAATTAAGGGGAATAATATCACAATCCACCCCTATACGGCATGTATAGTTTCAGGTGTGGGCCTTATGACCCACCCTTCCTCGGTATTGCTAATGATGCTCCCAAAAATATTTTTGATTTGATTTGCAAACAGAAATATCATAAATACAATTCTACTCACCTCGACATCTTTCACATTGTATAAATTCTCATTAGTATTTCCAGTCATTCACAACGACAATATTTCCTTGGCTCATTAGGCCATTCACAAGATTCTTTATTCCTGGCACGATGGCCGTATTTCATATTCCATACTTTCAATTTCAAAGATTACCATCAAGTATTAACATATAGGATATTTCAGAAATCATATACTTCAAATCCATTTGAAATGGAAACTTCAAACACAAATGGTTTCTTCCCAAAGAAGGCATACCATCCAACAATAGAAACACACATGAAAATCATAAACAATTAATACATCATTTATTCTTACAATGCTCTTCCCTAGAAATAACAATGTACCAGTTCAACACATGAGTATATAGAACTCGAATCACATTAGATATATTTATAAAGCAAAGCATTAGTTAAAGCAGCCACTAATGGGCATGAATTCAGTACAAAAGCTCTTAGGCAAATTCTATTTTTCAAATCACTTTTAACACAGTTGAGTCGAGGCTCATTTCATATTCTTTATCGCATCTTCTCAAATCATTTGCATTACTAGACACAATCATAACTTAAATTCTTGGCACGTTGGCCACACTCTATATCCCCAATTAACTTATTTCACTTTCAACCATCTTTATAGATTATCAACAATAAGACATTTCCAAATCAAAACTTTAGGTACACATACGAGCAATTAAGAGTCTTAAGAATATTGAGATTTTCTCACATAATTTGGCATACTATCTTTCATTGAAACACGACTCAAAGCCTTAACCTTTTAATACGCAACCCATGCTTTGAAACTTACGGAAACATTATGGAATTCAATTCCAAGAGAGAAAGTTTAGCCAACATACCTCAATCGAGCTTCCTTAACTCTAGAATGATCCAGAATTCTTAGCAATCCCGATCTATTTTGAGATATAACAAAATTTAACAACAATTAGGAAGATATTCATGGTCTCAACTCTTTTGAGCATTTTATCAAATACTAGGTGTGCAAATTTAACTACAAGGTTCTTCTACAAGATTTTCTTTACTCCACAACCCAATACTTACTTATTTTGGCTCAACAATCTTCCCACAATTCTTATT